CTCAGTAGACTGGCCCCTCAGTAAAATGGCCCCTCAGTAGAGTGGCTCCTCAGTAGACTGACCTCTCAGTAGACTGGCCCCTCAGTAGATTGACCCCTCAGTAGACTGGCCCCTCAGTAGACTGACCTCTCAGTAGAGTGGCTCCTTAGTAGACTGGCCCTCAGTAGACTGACCCCTCAGTAGACTGGCTCCTCAGTAGCTCTGAGTTTTAGGAAGTTCTTTGTGCTGTGCTGAAATATGAACCCTCCAGTAACTTTTACCTGTTGGTTTCTTTTTCTTCTTTTGGAGCCAAACATAATAACTCTGATCTCTAAAGTGCTATAGAAATATCACCAAGTGGCCCTTTATGTGTCTTTCAGGCCACCTTCTCGACTCCTTTGCCCGTTCAGCTTTATGGGATTCAGGCCTGGATTACCTGCATGGAACAGGACATGGTGTTGGGTCTTTTTTGAATGTCCACGAGGGTCCTTGTGGCATTAGTTACAAAACATTCTCCGATGAGCCCTTGGAGGCTGGCATGATTGTCACTGATGGTAGGTGTCATTCAATAGAGGGCACATGTGCATCTTGGAGCTTTTTTGTAGTTTTAAATTATTTTAAGGTAAATTGGTAATCATTTTCTCCTCCTGTCACATTGAATTAGCAACAATATCAACAGACTTTTCTGATTATAGAAGTGACACATGTTCCTTTTAGGAAAAAAATGAAATTATGGAAGACTATAACAAGAAAATTAAAATCATATGTGCAATCTGACTACCCAGGGGAGACATAACATAATATTTTGCTGTGTTAGCTTTTGGTTTTCTATCTTTAGTCAGAGTCATACTGTTTATATTCTGCTTTCTTAATATATTGCCTTTTCCTGTGTCATTGCTAAATATTTGTGAATATACTAGTGCCTGCATCATGTGTCTTGTGGATACACACATGATTTATTTGGTGGGTCTGTTGTTATTGTACTACTTACCTGGTAGCAAGTTTTCAGGGTCTACAGAGCATGTTCTGTACCTCAAGTGCCTAGAGCAGTGCTGTTCAATCTTTGTTATCTCATGGCACACTCGAACCTATAGTTAAACTTCTGCGGCACTCTTAAATTATATTGATCAAAAAAAAAAAGAGTACAAAAAGAATATACTTACTGTGCTTTGAAATTCTTTTGAAAATAATTTGATTGATGATCTTTAAAAATTTTCATGGCACACTCAAGATCCTCTCATGGCACACCCTGTGAAGATCACTGGCCTATAGAAAAGTGGCCAGGGAGAGAAGGTGGTGTGTTGGGACTCTTACCCCTGGATAGAGTGGGCCCTTTACCTGTTTCTGCTTCTCTTTGGGAGTGGGGTGGTCATCCCAGGAGTGAGAGCTTCTTTTCTCTGTGGACATCACTGTGGGCTGCCTCTCATTTTGGGGTTTGGTTTGTTTTAGAGCCAGGGTATTATGAAGATGGGGCTTTTGGAATTCGCATTGAGAATGTTGTCTTAGTGGTTCCTGTGAAGACCAAGGTAAGTGTTTACTTACTGATTAAAAAAATTTTCTATTCTTTATTTTGGGAAGATGAAGACTTATGTATTTAAAGCCAAGAACATGCTGTTCTGGGGCCAGCATGGAGCCTCCTTCCCCTGATGTCAGAGACTTTCCTGGGAACCCCTTGCCTCCCCTGCAAAGCCAGAAAGCAAATACTTAATGAACCGGGGCTGAGGACTGGAATTCATGGAACCTCAGGCTGACCCCCTGCTTGACATGATTTGGGGCTCTGAGTTTATTAGAGGTACCATATTGTCATGAAGTCTGTGCCACTGGGGTGCTTGTATAAGGGGCCAATTCCCAGGCCTCTCTCAGATCATGAATCAGAATCTCTAGGGCAGGGGCCTGGAAACTATAATTTTGTCGCACTTCCCAGTGATTTTTGTCAGGTAAAGTTCATGAACCCCTCAGTTTTACCAGGGGTTGGCCTTGTAGACAGTACAAGACAGGTGTTTCACCTGCTCCCCCACCAGTGTTACTAAGAGGTTGCAGGGATTTAGGTGCAAAGCTTTACCTAAACGACCTGTCTGCTCCTCCTCTATTGCTGTTTATGGAGATAAACAATTGGCAGGAAGTATCTTCCTAAGTCTCCAAGGAGGTTGACTGTGGAAATCTGCTCTCATTTTTCATGTGGAAGTCACCGTTCATGGAAGTGGCATCCCACCTCACTCCCAGAGGTCTTGCAGTGAACAGAGATGCAGCATGCTCTTGTGTGATTCAGTGTTACCAGCTGATGGGCCTGGCTGGGTCAAGGTTGGCCACGCAGTTAACTTAAAAAAATGATTTGAGGGACTCCATACCCCAGTGGAGTCTTGAGAGCCCAAAGCAGAGATGCCTCTGAGCCCAGACACCCCACACCCCACCCTTGCTTCCCCTCCCTCCCAGTAGAGGTTAGCCTGCAGACCTGATGCTGGGAGTTCTCAGCACCCTTTGTTTGGCTTTTCCTAATGGTGCAGGCTGCAGCTTGCCCAGTAAAGGAGCTCTTGGAAAGTGGCATCAGCTGTGTTTATCATGTTCCCTGTGTGCTTTTAAAAATAGTCACCTGCTCGCCACTTCTTGCCTTGTGGTTATACTTGGCTCTGAGGGGTGGCCGTGTCTGATAGAATGACCATCTGGTGATTCCTCATGGCCAAGAATGGTAAAAGCTTCTGTTTTCTTTCTTCTCCCACAGTATAATTTCAATAACCGGGGAAGCCTGACCTTTGAACCTCTAACGTTGGTTCCAATTCAGACCAAAATGATAGATGTGGATTCTCTTACAGATAAAGAGGTAATGGGGAAGTGTTAGTTGGGGGTGGGGAGCTGCCCTAAGTTCTCTAATTCATTCTTACCTTTTACTTTAGAGATCTAGGCCAACTGAGTCTGAAAGTTGTAGGTCTCCTCAGGAGTGTAAGAGCTTTTCCTGTGTTTGCTGGGCCTCCAAATGGAAATATTCTTGCTCCTTCCAGCCATTGGGAGGGTGTAGGACTTTGTGGGTGGGGATGGTGTGCCACTGCTTTTTGGGAGGAAATACCTGTGCTCTTCATAGTTGCACTATGAAGAGTGAGGCATGTTTAGCAAACATGGGCCCGTGTGTCTTCCCTACAAAAAGCCAGATGGATGTTGGGGCCTCTGGGCCACTGCACAAGCCAGATTGTTTTCTTGTGTTGGGTGAAACAGTAAGGAAATAAGAAGCAAAGTTTATTGTTACATGTCCAGGTTTTGTACAGATGAGGAGAAAGGAGGTATCTTCCCTTCACTGTCACTGCTGTGGTTATTCTGGGGCCTCAAAACTCTTTACAATTTCTGGGGCACAACAGTTCTCACTTGCGAACTCATAGAGTTACAGGTCTTGAAACCTCTATAGACCCTGGGCTCATGAGGCCAGGGGAGGTGGTGGGCCTGGGAACCTGGAGTAAAGCTTGAGGGATCAGGCAGGTGGATCAGGTGAGAGCAGAAACAGGGGTTAAAAATGGGCAGGAACAGTTAGCACCGGGCAGATGAAACTTTCCAAACTAGGAAGCTGATAGAAAGGATACAAATTCAAGAGCAAAGCAGGGGTCAGGAGTCCCGGTATAAAGCAATGACCGGTGGGAGCTGAAAGGCAGGGTAAGCGTGGTGGGCTTTAGGAATAAGAAGGTTTTGTTACCTGAGGCAGCCATTGGTCTCATCCCAGCCCAAGAGTGCCTCTTGAGGCAGGAGCATATCCTCAGGGGTGGCTGCTTGGGCCTTGGTCTTGACAGCAAAGGAAAGGGCCTCTGAGCGCTGAGGAGCTCCCTTTCCGCTGGGGCTGTGGGATGGGATTCTCCCAGCTCGAAGCCTCTTCCACCTTTCCCAGCTCCCAGGTGGCAGCAGAGGAAGGGCATTCCTTCTGCTGAGCTTTGCTCTGTGCATGGGCATCTCTGCCAGACCATCAGTGCCCTTGGTTCAGCCAGACATCCCACTCACAGGACCTAAGCAGGCCCTGTGGACGTTGGTATATGCAGCTTGTAGATGGATACAGAACAGGAAACTCAATGCTATTGGCACAGTGTCATGTGTGTCTCTTCTGCAGGAAGAGTCGTTCTAGTGGTTCAGGGGCTCTTTTCAGTCCCTGTAAGTTATGCTGCTGTAGGTGAAAGGGAACAAGATTGCATAGTTGCATGGAAGCTCTCAGACCCATGGGAACAAATGTCTCTGGTAATGGCCCTTAGGCATAGCTTACAGGGTCTTAGCAAGGGACTCTCCTGTAATAAGAAACTTTATGCTCCTAAAAGCCCAAGGCTATGGCTTCCTACCAAGTAATTCTAGGTCATTCAGTCTTCCTTGTCCACATAAAGTGTACAAATAAGGAGGGATTTGTCCCATTTAGTGTATGAGGAATGTTAAACAAGACCGTTTTCTCTCTCTCTTTTTTTTTTTTTTAAAAACATCATCCTTTATTTTGATTTATTTATTTATTTATTTATTTGCAGTTTTTGGCTGGGGCTGGGTTTGAACCCACCACCTCCGGCATATGGGGCCGGCGCCCTACTCTTTTGAGCCACAGGTGCCACCCCAAGACCATTTTCTCTTGAAAGAGAGTTTTGTTATTAGTTGTGACTCTGTCTACCCCCACGACATTGGACATAGACCAGTGAGATGTTACCCAGAGGTTCATTGCTGTTCTTTGCATACCCAAATCATCAAACTATTCTTTTGGCCAGTTACTCTTTATAGGGCAGGTAATATCTTATTATCCTGGAGATCATAAGCAAGTTTCTACAAATAACAGTGAATGACAGTATTTAACATCCCAGGCAGAGTACAGTATCATTTCTTATCTCTTTGACTTATTTAAAGATATTACCTTTTCAGCAAAAGGTTCCTTTTATATATACCACGTAGTAAGTGTGGGCCTTCATTCTATCTGGAGGCTCAGTTATCCTCCACATCAAGGTTCTGTCTGCTGGGCTTTTGAAAAACTTGGTCATGGCCCTTTACTATTTATTTAGTCTTTTGCCGTCACTTCAGAGAGTTTTTAGTTTTAGTCTGCATTCCCATGATTTGTCACTGGATGGCAGCAAAGGACCTTCATCAGCTGTAAACATGGGCAGTCACACACTATGGGGCCTGGGGGTGTTGCTCAGGCCCTGCTGCGCTGTCCCCCTCCTCACTCCCTTCCTCTTAACCAGGAGAGCCTTGGAAGTTTCCCTGCATCCGCTGGGTTGCAGCAGGATGCTGCTTTTGCCCTGGCTGCTTTTGCCCTGGCTGTTGATCTGCTGTGGGCATCAGGCTGCCTCTTAGCCCTGCTGGCCATGTTGCGGACATATAGCAGTTCACTTCTTGACACCCTCTGCCTGCCTACTCGCCACCACTCACCAAATTCCAGATTTACCAGCAGGAGCTAGAAGTCTTTTATCAGTAGGGACTGGAACCCTAGCTGGGTCAAAGGCAGTGGCTGCAGTGTTCCATCTATCTGGTCACAGTCCCTGTGGCCTTGTGTGTCCCTCCTGATCCCCAGCTGTTCTTTGGGACACAGCTGGACGGTAGTCCCTGGAGTGATTGCTTTTGTAACAGTATTGCCTCCCCGAATGGCATTTGGCTCATGTTTACAACAACCACGTCAGTGGCAGTGCCGTCTCACCAGCCTTGCTACAGCTACCCCATGGGCAATGAGAAAGGGGCTTCTTGTCCTCTTGGGAGAACATGCTTCACTCCAGCCTTCATCTCACTCCACACCCCCGCCACAGGGAGAGTTCATCCTTTTACCTTGAGCTTTCACCACCCAGTCTAGTGGATCAGCTTCCTCTCCCTGCCAAAGAACTGAGTTCTCCCAGCACCTCCTTCCTTTTAATCTCTTTTTTGTCTTCTGCTGTTGTGGCGCATAGAGTTAAGGGTCTGAAAGTTGAGCTTGCCCCCTGCCTCATTCTGCAGCACCACAGTCTTTGCCCACCAACAACTTGGGTTCATCTCGGCAGCCTCAGTCATGAGACTCACGTGGGCGTGGCTGACCCTAGTTTCTTTACCTTTGTCAGAGATAGAGGATCTGTCTTAGCACGTTGGCAGGACAACTTCAGGTGTGTCTCTTAGTAGGAGTCCTGCCAGAGTCCAGGGGCTATTCTGGTGCCCTGCTCTCCTCTGTCACCCCATCCCCAGGACGGTTCAGGTGTAAGGGAATGAAGCCCCACAGGTATATGCAGGAGCTATTGGTTAGGCTTCTCTTTCTAAAAGTAAACTCTTCCAGGAGCATTTTCACCATAAGTGAGGTAGGCCTGGTCCCATCTGTTTTCAGGGAAACAGAACACCAGGAAATCTGTGAGCAGGGAAAAGGGTTTTGTTCACCTTTCCTCTTGGCCTGTGACTTTACCACACAGGGCCCTTGCTTTTGGCCTGTGTAACCTTTTGGTAAAGGTGTGATGGTGATACTCTCTGTCCTTCTCCCCCTCTGCAGTGTGACTGGCTCAACAATTACCACCTGATCTGCAGGGACGTGATTGGGAAGGAACTGCAGAAACAGGGTCGACAGGAAGCTCTTGAGTGGCTCATCAGAGAGACGCAACCCATCCTCAAGCAGCATTAATACCTCCTGGTTTTTGTTACCGCAAAATGCTCTGGGGAAAGGAAGAAACATGGCAGACTCCTGACATTTTCCCCCTTTCCTCTCCTTCCTCCCTACTTCCCCTTTTTACTTTAGACTCTTAAGAAGAACGGAAAATCTTCTATCCTCTTTGATATTTTCTTGCAACACTCAGTCTTTTATGATTTTTTTAATTGTTGAGAATGAGCCAAGAATAAAATTGCTGCACCAGGGGGAGGTCCCCACAAAGCTGTACACTTGATTGAGTGGGAGACGCTCCAAGTTCTTTGGCGAGTGATGGTGAAACGAGTGCTCCATGATGGTCATGTTCCAGGTGCTAGTACATCATTCATGATCACCGTAATGTTCATGGGACTCTATTTATGATCAGTGAATAAAAATGTCAAAACTGTGCTTTGTCTCAGCGGTCTCCTTCCTCACAGTGCTGTCTCCTGGTGTGTCAGGCAAGCTGAGCTCCAGAGCTCCTGGCTTCTGTGACAAACATTTTCTAGTTGGAAGGCCCTCTTTGAGAAGTGACCCCTGGCTTCCCTGTATATTTTGTGGATTAATTATAAACATTTTCTCCTTTTCTCTAGAAAACCTAATACAGTAGAACCTCTATAAGTTGACCACCCAGGGGACTGTAACAAACTGGTCAACATATGGAAGTGGCCAACATAAGGAACTAAGTCTACTGTACTGGTACGTACATGTCTGGTCTATGAAACTCAGGTCAGCTTGAGGTGATCAATATAGGGAGGTGGTCAACTATGGAGGTTCTACTGTATTTTGGGAAATTTTTTTATTTCAGTTTTTTTCTCACATTTTGAAATGTGTTACTGATATGCAAAAAACCAATACAAATTATAATGTCAAAAGTCACAAGTCTCCCCTAATTGATGGTAGCTGCCTAAGCTATCTCACCCACATTGCCTCAGCTCTTATTGTTCCATTACTTGTAGACAAATGTAGATGCCCTTTCTGCAGACTTTCTATTAAACTGTACATGTGGGCAAGCCCCAAGGACTGGGAGTTAACGTCCTTGTGACCTCAGACCATCACAGTTGGCAAATAGACTTCTCAATCCTTTGGCTCGGATATCTGAGATGTGCCCGTCGCTGTTTCCAAGGGTTTCCCGTTGGCTTTGAAGCCCAGTTGCCCCCATGTTCAATAATACACCCTTTATTTTCTTAATAATCTATGTCCCACTTTCCCTCTCTGCCATCAGTATTTCTTGGTATCATCCCCAATAAACCATTTACATACAAATCCCTATTTTAAGGTCTCCTTGTTCTGGAACCCAACCTGAGATATACTTCTTAGGTATAACCACTATTACACTATATATATTACCTGACTTTCCTTGGTTTCAGGATTCAATAAAATGTTGAAGGAGTATTTATGTATAAAAGAAAATATGTGCACATATATGAACATATACAAATCACATTTACAAGCATAATTTTGTACATACATAATTTCCTTTTTTTACTTGGCAGTATATCTGAGTTATTTACCTATTGATATATGTGTAGAGCTAATTATTTTAGTGATAAACTATTCCATTGTATGGCTATACTCTTTTAAAAACTGGTATCATTTATTTTTCCTTTTTTTTTTTTTTAGAGAGGGTCTTACTCTGTCACCCCAGCTAGAGTGCAGTGGTATCATCATAACTCTCTGCAACCTCAAACTCTTGGGCTTGGGCAGTCTTCCTGCCTCAGTCTCCCAAGTAGCTGAACTAGACTTGTGCCACTATGCCCAGATAGGGTTTTGCTCTTGCTCAGGCCGGTCTCAAATTCTTGGCTTCAAACAATCCTCCGACCTTGGCCTCCAAAAGTGCTGGTATTATAGGTGTGAGCCCCCTGTGCCTCGCCTAGTCTCATTAACATCTTTTATTTTTAAACAATAATAGGCTGGGCATAGTAGTTCATTTCTTTTATTTTTAAACAATAATAGGCTGGGCATAGTAATTCTAGCACTTTGAGAGGCCAAGGTAAAGGATTGCTTGAAGCCAGAAGTCTTGAGACCAGCCTGAGCAATATAGTGAGATCCTGTCACACACACACAAAAAAGCCATGTATAGTGGTATGTGCCTATTGTCCTGGCTACTTGGGAGGCTGATTAAAGTGATGGGCAGTGCCTGTGGCTCAAAGGAGTAAGGCACCGGCCCCATATGCTGGAGGTGGCTTGTTATGTTTCCCAGACTTGAAAATTTCCATTGTCCCATCTTCAAATTCCCTGATTCCCTACTCAAATCTGCCTTTGAACCCCTCTAGTGAAGTTTTCATTTCACTTACTATACTTTTCAGCTCCCAAATTTCTTTTTGGTTTCTTTTTAGGTTTTCTATCTCTATTGATATTTTCCTCCCCTGCCAAAATGTTTTTTTTTTTTTTTTTTTTTTTTTTTAGAGACAGTCTTACTTCGTCACCCTTGGTTGAGTGCCAGGGTGTCATAGCTCACAGCAACCTCCAGCTCTTGGGCTTAGGTGATTATCTTGCCTCAGCCTCCCAAGTAGCTGGGACTACAGGTGCCTGCCACAATGCCTGGCTATTTTTTGTTGCAGTTTGGCCAGGGTTGGGTTTGAACCTGCCACCCTATGTATATGGGGCCAGCGCCCTACTCACTGAGCCACAGGTGCCTCCCTCAAATGTTGTTTTTTATAACTTTTTCCACATGTCTCTTGAGTTCTTCCAGCATCTTTAAGCAAGTTTTTTTCTTTTTTAATTTGAGACAGAGTCTCACTTTGTTGCCCTTGGTTGAGTGCTGTGGTGTCATAGCCCACAGCAACCTCAAACTCCTGGGCTCAAGTGATTCTCTTGCCTCAGCCTCCTGAGTATCTGGGACAACGGGCACCTGCCACAATGTCCAGCTAGTTTTAGAGACAAAGTCTCGCTTTTGCTCAGGGTGATCTCCAACCTATGAACTCAGGCAACCCATCCACCTTGGCCTCCTAAGTGCTAGGATGACAGGTGTGAGTCATTGTGCCTGGCCTAAGCAAGTTGTTTTAAAATCTTTGTCTAGTATATCTACCATCAAGGTTTTTTTTTGAGAGGGAGGGGTTAGTTTCTATTGATTTTCACCCCTTTGAATGAACCATACTTTCCTGTTTCTTTGTATGCCTAGTGAGTTTTTGTTGAAAGATGGACATTTGAAACAGATTCTCTCCTTTCCCTAGAGTTTGCTGTTTTTTGTTACTTTTATTGTTTGTTATTACTATTATTTGTTGTTTTTCTGTGTCAAGGATCAGCCTGAGGTGAAACTTTAGGTCTTCCCTGAGCCTAATCCTTTTCCTGGGCATGTGCATTCAATTTAAAATTTTCCCCATATGTGCAGTTATTTTTAAATGTTCTAGTCGTGAAGGGAGAAAAAAGGGCACTGGCCCTTTAAGTCTCCTGGAAGTCACTTTAGATTGAGGGGAAGGGGGGTTTCCAGCAATAGGAAGATGTGAAACAATAGCTGCCCACCTCTTTTTCTGCATTTCTGAAATCAGAAGCAGCAATCAGTGATCAGAGCACAGGCCCCTGATACTTGAACAACAAGGTCTCTTTTGCCTATTCCAGCTCCTGTAAGCCGTGCACAGGTTGCTTCATGAACATGTGAGCAGCTGCCTGCCAAGGGCCTGGCATGGAGGATGGATATCTGCCGTTAGGGTAAGAGCTAAAATTGCCTGAAATCAACTTCAATTTACTGTCCTGTGGAGGTTGCCAGTCTTCAATAGACTCCAGAGTTCCAAAGTAGTATATCAGGCAGATTTGGCCAGTGCACTCACTGTCTAGCAGATTCCTGAATCTGAGTCCTTCCCAGAATCCTCTCGTTACATCTTAACCTGTATCTTAAATTTGAGAGGCTTTGACAAATAAACAAATTTAAACCATTCACCAAAGCATGGTTGTCAATGTCCAATGACTTTCTCCACCTGAGGGGAGCAGAACATGAAATGAACCCATTTATATTTGTCATTCGAAACTAGAGTGGCGGCAAAGAAAATGTAGCAAGAAAAGTAAGACTGAATTGACAGAATGCCTAAAAGCAAACTAGCCAACATTTATTTGCTTTTGTTTTTATTCCCTTTCCCCCTCCTCCCTTTTTTTCTCTCAAGGATCATCGATTCCCACTTGCTATGTGGGAGGAAGCGAGATATGGTCTTGCTTCTCAGGTTATATTGCTACGACCGTCAGGAAAGCCACAAGCATGCCTCCCAATGATAGGATATATTTTGTTTCACCAAACATCAATTCTCAAATGCTTTTTGTCCATACTTGCTCATATTTCTAATAGGTACCATAAGATGGGGCTTGAAAGAGAAATTTCTCCCCAACTAATAGAATGTATTAATCATATTTCTTGTCTGTCATCCCTCTGGAAGGGAAGAGCCCCCTTAGGACTCAGCCTGTCATATTCTTTGGTATCCCAGAGGCTTTTCTCAGGAATGGGAGTGGTGAATCACACTTGGAGTTCAGACAGACTGTAACTCAAGTGTGACAGCGACTCCATTGTTTGTTCATCATCAACAGGCTGTTAAGCCTGTTACTTCTGAAGGCAATCTTAGAGCAAAGTTTGATTTAATTGGCTTGAGCCTGAGAAGGAAAAGTTAACAGGTGCCGGTGCCTGGAGCTTCCTGCTTGGACCTGCATCATCTTGGCAGTCAGTCCAAGAGATGTAAACTAGGCAAGATGGCCCCATAAAGATTGAGGACCAGAATAAAACTCTAATGTGCCAGAGCTCAGGGGAAGATGGGGAAATAAAAATGTAAATTAAAAAGTATCATCCTTCTTCACTGTTAAATAAATGATAAAAAAAAATGTGTGGGAAAATGGGCATGCTGCTAAATTTATAGAATAACTCCAGGGAAGCTGATTTTGTTTCTTTGTCTCACTCACTTTATTCCCTAGTGAAGTTTTATGTACAAGGTAGTGAGGATTCAAGGAAGGGGACAGATGAGGGTCCCTGCTGTGAGCACCCCAGGGTCTGGCTTCTGGGAAGCTTATTCACCGTCTGGTGAGAAGTGCATCTGTGACACCTGCCTGTGAGAGGGATCTGGCCTTGCCACCCCAGTCCTCAGTGCTTTTCCAGCCTGAAGGATGTGCCTGGTATCATTTCTCAGCAGGCTCATTCTGGGTTAGGCGTGAACAAGTGTGAAGGAAACCGTTTGTACCAACAAGTCATGGGAGGCGTTGCCCTTGGTGTCTCCTAGTAGCTGGGGGTTTACACTGGCAGCAGCATGAAGACTGCATGAAGCACTTTGTGGCCCCTTCCAAGCATCAGTTGCAAGACTGTTGGCTTGTAGGAGGAGGGGGCAGGTATTGGGAGGGCTGAAGGGGGTTTCAAGGTTTGACAGTTTTAAAGCTGATACTGTGGTTGCTGGTTCCTGAAAGTAGCTGGAGTGCAGAGATGAGGAAATTCACAGGAT